CTGCTGGCTCCTGATTAATGGGTCATCTTCATCATCAGAGAAAAAAAAAACATCGGAGCATCTGTTCGGTGGTTGTAACTGTGAGTAAGAATTAAGGGAACGTCTGGAAAGGGAGGGTGACAGGAGGGTGCGTTTACAGGGCAGGCCCGGGCAGATGATGGTTTTGTCATAGATGACTCCATAAGATCATCCCACCAAAGACGGGCACAACATTCTTTAGGATGAAGGCTGAAAGTGTCACAGCCAGCCCTTGCCGTGATACAGACATTTCTGTTCACTCCCAACTAATTGAGCAATTTTAGTTCGGAAGGAGAAGCACTGTATTACACAGCGCTGCCACCTCTTCCATATCTTGAGGAAACCCATATTCCACAAACTGGGTCCTAGGTCCAACTATGCTACAAGTGCTGAAGCTGTTGCTTGGAGCCAGCCTCAGGTTGCTCAGGGCAGGCCCAGAAGAAGCTCTGTTTTTACTTTATCTGCCAAATCCCAGTTGAAGCCTTGCCAAAGCCCTGTTTCCTCTAGAGGCCTATGACTTCATTGAAGCTCTGGTCCCCCACCACCCCATGGGTATCCAAGCCGAAGAGGTGCCTCAAAGCACTATCTCATCACTGGAGCTTTAAAACAAGCAACTCTATGTGACCCCTCCCTTTCTATGGGGATATATCTTATGCCTCCCCCTGTTCTCTCTTTATGTACTGCAGTAACCCTTGTCTCCCACATGCATTTTATAAGCCTTCCCCAGCAGTTTTAGAGCAGCCTGATAAGATGCCAAGACCAGCCCCAGTTACTGCAGCTACTCTGATGAGAAGCTCCTAAACCACACTGCTTATTTCAGGAGACAAAAAAACACCACCACCAAACTAAAATAAAACAAACACTGACCAAAAAAACCCCAAACAAACACTAAAACTTACATCACAAAGCAAACTCCTCACCTTCTCTTTGCTCTGGAGTCAGTAAAAACAGTCAACCAGTTCTCCTGGGCTCCTATTTAAGTCCCAGAACTGTGATGGGGGGAATTGTTGGCTGATTCCCAGCACCTGGGAGTTGTTCTACCCCAGAGCATGCTCAGCTGCTCTCTAATCTTTAAAGGACCCAATATATGCTGACACCCTCCTGCTGCTCCCTGCAACTGTAACCATCCACATATTTTCAGTCCCCTGCAATAATGCTACTGAACTAGTAGTTCACCTCCTCCCTGAACAATTTTTCCCGTATTCCCATAGCTGAACCTTCCCTCCCGTATTCAGTTTTGGCCCCCACAAACACAAGAAAGGCATTGAAAAACTGGAGAAAGTTCAGTGGAGAGTCACCAAGAAAGTTGGGGACTGGAGCATTTGATCTGCAGGAAGAGGCAGAGGGAGGTGGGCTTATTCAGCCTGGTGAGAAGAAGGCTCCAGGGGAACATAACAGCAGCCTGCCAGTGATTACAGGAGGTTACTGAGCAGACAGAGCCAGGCTCCTCATGGTAGTGCATAGCTTGGAGACGAGACAGTTGAAAGAAAAGAGGTTGAAATTGAATACAAGGAAAAATTTCTTTACCATGATGACAGTCAAACCCTGATACAGGTATCTTAGGGAGACTGTGCATCCTCCGTCCCTGGTGGTTTTCAACACTAGACTGGATAAACCCTGAGCACTCTGATAGGACCTCGGAATTGACTCTGCCATGAGCAGGAGGTTGGACCAATGTCCCTTGCAACCTAATCCAGCCTGCCCTGTCTTAGGGAAAAGAGGGTGAACTGGAATGATCACCCAAGTCCAGAGCTTCCTCCACAGCTGGGTTGTGGGAACCCTGCAGTTAGCACCACCACCCTAAGATCATCCCATGGCAGCTAGAAAAGCCTTGTCAAACACTGTGAATGTCAAGGGAAAAAAGTAGGACAGAAGATTCAACTGAGTTGCGACAGTGACACGTGCCTGTGCTGGGGGAGGAGGAGGAAGCGGTGGAGCACACAAGTTAAATGGGCCAAGAGCCTGGACACAGTAATGTATCAGCCGCATCACCAGCAGAGTGAAGCTGTGAGATGGAAATACATCCTGCCCCTCTGCCATGTGCATAGCCCTGTCACGGAAGGGTGCTCAGCTGTGAGCAACCTCGTCCTTTCAGTGAGAGCAACCATACACAAATGTAATTCTCCCATTATTTTAACTGCCATGGCAGGCTGAGTGAGATGTGAAGGGCAGATCTTGGCAGCGGCCGCGATGCTGGGGCAGCTCCCACTCAGCCTCTGCCCCTTCCTCCCCAGGGAGAGAAAAAGCTGTGAAGATGTTCATGTTATCTAATAGAAGAGAGATCTCAAATGTACCATGACTCATGCACCTCTCAAAGCTGTCAAAAAAAAAAAACAACCAACATCCAAAACACAACATATCTTAAAAGGCTGAGGAAGAAAATCAAAGGAGAAGCAGTGGCTGAAGGTTTGGTTTCTGGTTTGCTACGGGTGCGGGAAGGCAGCCAGACACAGATGGGATCTCAGGCTGGACAGCCTGTGGCCACTGCCACGCTCCTGCCCTGGCATCCATCAGCCATGCCGCGCAGGCGAGCACGGTGCTCTGACACCGAGACTGAACGGACCCGGCACCAGCGGAGCATCACTACTGTCTCGGTTAACCGGAGCGATGTGCCCGCTCAGCCAGAAGGATGGACCGTGACAGAAGCTTTTCACTTGGTGTGACACTGCCTCTCTTGGCCTCTCCCAGGGGAGGAAATTTTGGGAAGTTTCCCTAACTGGGGGAAATCATCGCCTCTGTGGAGATGACTCACATTCCCCCCTTCCCTGGCACAGGTGGAGGAGATGGTAGTTGGGTCTGTAGAGGTACAGAGTTTTTTTAGTCACTATTTGCACTGAAGAGCAAAATACAGGATGGTTATCAAATAGCGAACTCTTGCAGTTTCTGTTTTCTTGTTATCTCAACCTCCAGGTTAAAAGGATTAGATATGAGAATATCCTGTGAGATTTTTGGAGTTACTGAGTGCCATCTCAGGCACAAAGATGTCTTGTACCCCCTCTCTCATTAAAATGTTGCTTTCCGTCCTAACAATGGGGTCTTTTTCCTCCTGTGCCCTGAATATGGTGCTGCTCCAGTGTCGTGCAATGTACCAGGATCATTGCAGGTCTCGGGCAGGAGAGGAAATGTGGAGGTCATCTTGCTCTGAGCAGGAGGATTGATGAGGAAGGTCCTCCCACTTTCCCAATGCACCCTTCATGACCACTTGTCCTTGTGCAGGAGGTGCTTCTTGCTCCCCTCAATCTCATCCATGTTCTGGATGTCTTACTGTTGAGTTTATCAATATAACATCTGAATTCGAAACCAAACAAGTGCACTTCCACTGGCTGTACAGCTTGGGCCACAGAGAAGGTTAGTCTGCTTCCAAGAGGTGGCAGATTTTGCAAGAAGCCGGTAGGCTGGGATGGGAAAAATGTGAGGATCGAAGGCAGCTGGTCCGAGAGAAGCTCCAAACCAGCCAACGTGGAGTTTTGCCTGCGTGGTTCAACTGCTGGCGGGCTGCCGCCTGCACGCTGCCTGTGAAGTTATCAAATGACAAAGGATTTGCCAGAATTGGCATCGTGAATGTGAATTATCCAAAGAGAAGCCAGCGTTAGGTGTGCTGAGCACATTGCTAAGGCCTCTCTGCTTAGGCATTGCACCCCAATTGAGTTCAAAGCACGGATCGTGGCACAATAGGCAAACACACAAGCTCTGTCCAAACAAGGTCCAGAGGTTTAGGTGCTCAGCGTTTAGGTGCTTGCAAAATATGTTGGCCCCTGAGGCTCCTGATAAAATCTAAAGCTCCCTTTGAAAGTTAAGCATTTGACATGAAGAAGCTGGTATCCCATTGATCTGCTGCCAATGTTTTAACAAGGGGATGCCACAAGTATTTCCCTGTGTGAATTTTGCACAATGAATGGAGAGAGACTACAGAATTCATCTTCTCATGTTTGCACGAAGAAGGATTTTCCAGCTAGTGCCAAGAAGAGAGAGGGCAGCAGTGTGTAAAGTAAAGAAAGGAATAAAGTCTTCAAGCATTAAAAATTGTAAATAAATACAAATACTTGTGCCTAGAAAGTCAAGGTCTGTGTATGATTCAGGGAGAGTTTATCCTAGAGGTGGGTAGAGGAAGCCCACAGCTCTTCTCCTCCAGGGAATATATTTTTTTTATAATTATTGACACTTCATACAATCTGGTGCTCTTCTAAATATAATTTTATTAGCATGAGAAGACACTTGGCAGCAGGGAACTAATGCTGGTGAGTTCACAGTTTCCAAGACAAAGCGTTCTCTTAGAAGGGAGAAGAAAGAGACTGATTTGGAAAGAAGAGCCTCGCAGCTTCTGCCTAAAACCAGCCTCCACCTGCCATCTTCTCGTCGCAGGCTTAAATGGAGCAATATTCCCCAGCCTCAGCTTGTTTGTCTCTGGTTTCCAAAGGAGATGAGGCATATGCAGTCACGCTGTTCACCAGCTCTCCTGTCATCCTCCCACAATAACCTCCAAGAGAGGAAGGAACATGTCTATGGAGGATGGGTAAAGAATAAAGGCGGCCGCTGTCACCCACCCCTGCGATGGGGAGAGCCGGGCAGGAGCCCACGAGCGGTTGCGCTGCCCAGCAGGCATGTGCCAATTTGTCAGGCAGGACGGGACAGAAGAGCTACGGCTGCTGGGGACGGGAGAACACGGCCCGTGGGAGCCGTGGGAATCGCCGCTCCGGCACAGGGAGTGCCTTGCTTCCCAGGAGGAGGGTGATGTAATAGCACAGTATAGCGAAGCCACGCATTAGGCTCTGGCATGGCAGTATTGAAGCGCTTTTCTGGGCATTATGGAAAGAGGAGTCCAGCCAAAGGATGGTGCTGAGTTTTATTTTATTGAGCAGAGACGGCGGAGGTGAGGGCAAGATGCTCTTATGCCTGTGCTCAGGCGACTGCGGCCGCTGCTGGTGCTCGGTAACAGTGAGGACTCAGCACTTCCCCAGGTGCTTCAATCTTATTTTCCCTCCACTTCTCCTGTAGAAGGAGCAAGACAGACTTAGACAAAGCAGCGTGTGACAGACACAGCAGTGTGGGACAAGGAGCTCATCCGCCCAAACAGAACCATTTACCCTACTTGTGCTAGCTGACCCTGCTGCCTCACAGAGAACATCAAGCCATTTTCTCCCCTCCTTGCTCTTCTCTGATTCCTCCCAGGACAAGGCAGCCTTGATTGTGTACCAAATGCTATGGACCACTAAGGAAAAAATGATGTTTTGTGAGCACGTTCAGTCCAGGGGTGGTGGCTCCTATTGCATCTCCTTTAAAAAGGTGGCAGAGCTCAGGAAAAGGAGAAACTTGGGTTCTTCCTCTGAGATATTGCATTTTGTTCCTCAAAGTCCATTCAGACTTTTCAGGAATAATTTGGCACGGCTCAGCTCCCGCGTTCCTCCAGACACTTCTCAGTACCCAGAAGTGTGGGCAGGGAGAGCTGCAGCCTGTGGCATATAAGGGGAAACGTGCATCGATTTAGTGTGTGCAGAAGGTACGGGCGGGATGCAATTGCCTCCCGGGCCCCGTGCTGCGCCTCGGCATGGCAACCAGCAGTGCGCAAAGCCTCGAAATGAATTAAAATTAACTCGCATTCACACAGCTCCATTCCAAGGAGGAAATATTCCACTCGGCACGATTCAGGGGCTGGTGCATACAAAAGGAGCAGCTTGGATGCAGGGCCTCCACTCCATGAAGAACACGGGTACACACGTGGAAACGGAGCCAACTCCCTCTGCTTTCTGGATCCCCTCTACTTTCACTTACAGCACTGCCTTGCAGAAGGCGCACTTGTTTCCGTACGTGATGCCGTCCGTGCCGCAGTGAGGGTTGGACTCCCTCGTGCAGTACACGCTTCTGTTTACAAACTCTCTACAAATCTGCAAAAGAAATAAAAAAAAACCCAACAACACCTTTCAGGACTCCCATACTCTTTCTTTCACTTCCCAACGGTGATAAAAGGTCACTAATACAATGTTTTTTCTGACAAGAGGGCTGAAGTGGCAGTGATAGCATTGCCTATTTACAGAACGAAAAAGCCCTGTCGGAAGCGAACAGAAAGAATGTTTCATGGCAATTTTTGCCCTATGTTTGAGGAGGGAAACTGTAGGCACCTGGGAGGAGTCTTGATCTCCCAAAGACAGGAGTGGATTAGCCTAGGCATGTAGGAGAAGAGTCAGCACTGATGCTCTTTCAAGTATTTGACGCCAAGTTAGTTCACCGCTGCATGGCTTCATGCATATTGCGAAACCGTGCTCTCAGCTTGGCGCTCACTGAGCTGTCTGCCTTCCCAGCGAAAGGAGGAGAAAACCAGAGTCTTTGGGGAATTAAAAATGGTGTCCAGGAAATGTACAGGTATGTTGTTCTGGACAAGTCCCAGTGATGGACCTTGTTGCAGGGGGATCAAAAACACTCTCAATAGTTCATTTGTTTCATGAGAAGATCAGACAGTGGAGCAAAGTGGACAAAAGTGGTGCCGTGTATAAACACAACCCTGTGCAAGCACCCTAGACTTGATCGTGGGAAGGATTTGCTGCTCCAACCATCAATTTCCCTGGTCTACTTGCTAATGCGGCCACACATATCATTCCCTGTCCACCAGTGAACCCCACAAAGTGTTGGGACTTCTTGGAAGGACCCACCTGCTCCTAGTAGACATTAAAAACTGTTTACCAGGCACCAAGATCTCGGTTACAAAACTATTCCTCTAGAAAATGCAGATTCGGTAAGCAGAAACAGCTGCACTAACCTCTTCAATGTCTTGACCTGCTACATCTGGAATAAAAAAAATAAAACAGGTTTTACACATCAGCATTATTTTCTGACAGAGGCTGAACTAAAGTTACAAGCCCTTTATGCAAATTGCAGTGAAACATACACCAGGTTTTTCCTACTCCGTCATCCTGTGCGGCGGCGGAGGGGGCAGGAAATACATTATCTGAATTGCTTTTCAGTATTTTGCTTTTTTTTTTTGAACAACAGTACTAAAATAGCATGTAATCAGTCATTCAGCTGCAACTGCACCTCAGACACACAACCCTGTCTCCTGGAAGGCAGCTGCTCCTGGGGACGTGAGCCACCGCGTTGTGTTCGGAGCTGCGCTCAACAGAGATACTGAAGCTATCGTGACTTTTAAGGCTTTTAGGCTCCCACACCTCATTGTCTACAAGGAAAATGGCTGGTATTGCTAAGAAGAGTGTACCGTGAAGAAGAAGGAGAGCCTGTGGTCAGCTTTACAGCCATCCCCAGCACGGCACAACCCAGAGACTCTCGCAGAACGACTTCATCCCAGATGAGATACAAAGAGATGTCATGGAGTGATACAGAGCAGAACAGGCAGTGCCGGTCAGTAAGAGCACAAAAATACCCGCTGTAACCACAGGCTCTGGGCTTGAGGGTAATTGGTCCATCCTCTTTATATTTCTTCGCTGCAAAGACTGCAGTTGGGCACGTAGGTTGAGTCACGGCTGCGGGACAGGGCGGCCCTGCCATGTCTCTAAGCGGGGGCCTGACACTCCAGGGTGAACTGAATGAAGATTTGCGGAATCTGGGTCGCAACACTGTGGGACAAATACCCAGCATCTCACGGCGCAGCAGAGGTTTGGCTACAAGGCCATACCTGCTGGGCCAGGGGGCTGCTGGGGGCTGTGATGCTGCTCTGGTGGCTCTGGGCAGGAGAGAACCTGGGGCAGGAGATGGGAGGACACTCGGGCTCCCACATGTTGGAAATCTCACCCAACCCTCAGTCAACTAGACCATCGTCCATCAACCCACCCTACTTCTTCTGCCAATTGTTCTGCCCTTCGATGTCTGGTACTAGTGTATTTATCATGTCCTCAGGTTAGGCCAGGCTGCCTTAATTGTAAAGTCACTGTTATGACTATCCACACGTTATTTACAAAATAGATCATTAGATAGTTTTTATAAATATTACATGTGGCTACACAAGACTTTGTGATGATGTCTCTTGACATCTGTTTATTCTACAAGAGATCACAGAGTTTGCTGCTATTCTGCCTGGCCTTGGAAGGAAGCTTCAGCACTCTGACGGAACCCAGTCCCAATTAAGACTCAATTAGAGACAGATGAATATTTCATAATGAATAATGCGTACAAAGTAATTCACCTCTTTCTCCATGCACAGCTTGCAATTTTCTCAAGTGAATTCTTTATGCAAATTATTCACAGAAAAACAAGTATAAATAATTCTTGTTCTGTACATTCTTCAGTAACCATCGCCACAAACCTTGCAGAGCTGGGTCATCTGGATGCAAGCAACTGATAACAGTGAAGTGACCTATATGTTCAAAATCATCACCCAGCTTCCCCAGATCGTCAGAGATGTGTAAATCTCCAGATAAATAAATGCTGGATCCTTTTAATTTGCCCTCTTTGTTCTGACTCCTTGAGGATATCTGAATTTAATTTTCAAGCTTTTCTCTGCAACGTAAATGAAAGCCGAAACTTTCATCTAATTACGTTTCCACATCTCCCAGGAAAACACCAAATACCAAGATGCTTAGGATCAGAACAAGAGCTGATGACCCTGAGGTGAGTGAGTTTCTTCTCTAACTGGTTCAGCAAAACTCTCCAGTGAACATTTGTACCAAAAATTCGTAATTACACTCTGCTCTGGTACATTTGCTGAAAGAGCCGCGTAGAATTTGCTCGCTCTGTCTCCCAATGACACCTCTGCCGCGTTATTCACTGCGGAGGCACAAGAGGAGTGGAAATATGTCACACGACTGAGCGAGTCCTACGGATATTTTCTACTCACTCAGCTTTATCTTCAAGCCTGTCATCGGCTGCTCAAGGCTCTCCAAAGTTTGCTGTTGTCAGGAAAGGTTTGGGTTGTTTTTTTCCTAGGCTAGGGAAAAGATCACTTACCCGAGAAGAAAGAGAGCAGCAGGAGGCTGAGAAGCACTATGGCACCTGTTGCCTTCATGCTGCAGGTAGGTCTTTAGTCCAAGCCAAGCGATCTGTGCAGGAGGTATCTCAGCACCGGAGCCCACGAAGTGCACACAGACCTGCCTTTCTGTGTATTTATGTGCCCGTCTGTAGCTGTCCTCATTCCCCACCTTAATTGTGAGAACTTCTCCACTTCATTTCTAGAGCCATTATTGGTCCTGGCCGTGTTTATGGTGCTTTAAGAATGCTGCCCTGTCCACATCAAACCTAGAAAGGGCTAATTATATGAGTGATAGACTCAGGCTTGTAATATCTTTTTTTTTTTTTTTTTCTAAATAGTCACAGGATTCTCACAAGGGTGAATTTTCAAAGAGGTGATTCATCGGGGAAACTGGTAATTTTCATTCTCTGGGCCCTTGCTGAATGCCAGCTCCAAGGCTTTGAGTGCGGCGTGATGACACTCACTAGACGTTACGAAATAAATCACAGCATGGGAATGTGTTGTCTGTGAAACCAATTATACGTTGTTCCCTGGCTATTTTTGAGGATGGTTCTAAATTTGTTGGTTTGGGGTGGAGAAGCGCTCCGATGTGACATGCTCTCATAGCTGTGTGCACAGTCCCAGATAGGACTGCTGACTCTCCACCCTGAACTATTTAAACTCTAGCTGTCAATGTTTTCCAATTTTTCACATTCACAAACATATGTTAGGGCTCCGCTCCCACAGCAAGTGGCAATGAAGGGAATTTGATGGGGAATCAGGAGACTTGAGCTCTATTTCCAGCTGAGTCTGTGCAAGGATTTGTATTCAGCTGCAGCATTTGCAAAATATCTGTTTAGATAAGAACAATCAAATTCCAGCATGCTTTCCTAAGGAGACAAGGCTTATGAGAGCGCTGTGTATAGATATATCCCTTTATTAGTTCCCCCAGTAAATTTTGAATCTACTAGTTCCAACCAAATTTGACATAGGAGGGAAAAAAATTAAAAAACCATAATACATTTTTCTTGCAACAGAGGAAAGATGCCACTAACGTCCTCAGCCAGTGAGGGAGAGAGTTTCTGCAGGAAAGCAATGCTGTGAGTGCCCTACATCTGGGAAAGCATCAGAGCTTGCAGCTTGCCAGACATCTTGAAATCCACACAGCAGAGAAACCGTGACTGACAGGTGAATTCTCAGATGTCTATTAAGGGTGAGCTCGCGACGCAGCCTCTCATATAATTTAGTTATCAAGGCAGTCAGCCGCAGCGCCGTTCAAAATCACGCTTAGTTCTGCCACTCGCAGCACTACTTGTTTGCCTTTTCTAGTTTCATACGTCACTGCTCACCACCGCAGCCTTAAAGCCTCAGTCCTTTATCTACCCAAATGTTTTGGTGGCTGCAGCGTAACCACCTGGCTGAAGCCTTCGCAAACGTACCGCAGGGACCAATCCCTTCTGGGCTGAGGAGAGGAAGAGATTAAATTACCAACCAGGTGATTATCATTATTAGCCCTTTCCACTTCTTTATAACCTCCGAAACAGGCCACTTACTGGTGTGGGTGAGGACATTCTTCTGTCCCTTTGACTTCTCTGAAGACCAGGGATAGAAGAAGGGCACTTGGACCTTGCTTTGCAGTCTAATGGCTGTTGTTGGGCAGAATCTTGCTGATGTCAAGCTGAGTACTTACCTGTGCTGGGCTGGTCTTTAGTCTTGTGTGATACAAATCTTTCCATCTTCTAAAGTGTTTTTTTAGGTTTGGGGTTTTGTTTTGGTTTTTTTTTTTTATGGTTAGGGCTGGAAGGGACCTCAAAGATCATCTAGTTCCAATCCCCCTGCCATGGGCAGGGAAACCCTCCACTACACCAGGTTGCTCAAAGCCTCATCCGACCTGGCCTTGAACACTTCCAGGGATGGGGCACCCAGAGCTTCTCTAGGCAACCTGTTCCAGTACCTCACCATCCTCAGAGTGAAGAATTTCTTCCTTATATCTAATATAAATCTCCCCTCTTTCAGTTTAAAGCCATTACTCCTTGTCTTACCACTATATGCCCTTGTAAAAAGTCCCTCTCTCTGTTCTTGCTCAGAGGTTCATGACACATCTAGGATTCAGCCATATACCCAGCACTTGCCATTTGCCTTTCCTTTCCCTGTAGGTGAGCAGCTCTTTGGGCTTTTCCAAAGCCTCCTGAGCTCCTAAGCAAGTATCTGGCTTCCTCAGTCAGAAACTGCCACTGCAGAGGAGGCTTACTGTAGGATCTTGCTGTTGAAGACAATTTCCAGTTATGGCCAAAACTCCACTGGTCTGTGGCCACTCTGTAAACTTGTTGTTGGCCAACAAGGAATTGCAGCAGAGCTCTGTCCTGTTCCGACAGGTCTCTGTTCACATTCACTAGCTACTGAGACCGTTCCTTAATTATTTTTCACATGCACACAAGTAGGTAAGCAGTGAGGGTTCTCATGACTCTCTAGTTTGTCTTTTCTTAAGTAGAGGCACAAAGGCATGATGTGATTTATATTGCCTGTACTAACAGAAAAAAAAAAAAATGAAAAGTTCCATCCCTCTTCCTAGGAAAGGGCATTGATCTGTGCTAGTACTAGGGGAAGGACATGCCTCTTATCTTCTGGTGAGAAGCACCTACAAGAAACAATCTACATCAGGAAACCAGACCCAAAGAAAAGGCTTGGAAGTCACAGATTTTGTCCCAAATATCAGCCTTACCAGCAGATATTATTGCTACATAACAAGAGAATGGGAGGTGGAGAAAGGAAGAGGAAGGGAGCGTGTGAGCCGTGGCACTTGGAACTTTTTGCCCATGCTGTTTGCATACTAACTCCTTGACTCACTGAAAAAGGTGGCACATCATCATGAACACTCATATATATCATTGCTCCTCCAGTGCACTCTTTAGGCGCCCATAAAGATGTTATCTCCATACCTTTTCTCCCAAGATAAAAAGCACCTTGGAGCTACCAGCACATCTTTTGGTCCTTCTTTCCTCCGGATAGAAAATCCGAGACATTTTCCTGAAAGGCCCCCTGTCCTACCTCTGCCTCAAATACCCCAAGTACGACTTTTCAGATCTCTTCTCCAAGAAGCTGGAAGCCCAAGCCCAGTCTAATTTCTCCTCAGGTCCTCATTAGGCTCATTACAGCCTTGCCTAGCTTGCTGCAATTTTCTGCTGATCAACACAGTCTCGATGAACACACCCTTCAAGGAAACAGCAGTTCCTAATTTTCTTCCCTATGAGATAGCCTCCTCCCTTTGCCATAAGCCTCCTTTTTATAACACACTGCCAGATCTGCCCCTTGCCCAGGTGTGACCAGTTAGGTCTGACCAAGGCCACCTTTCTCTTTCACACTTCCTCATGGCCATCCCCCTGTGTCAGGGCCCCTGAAAGGACAAGTTCCTCCAAGACTCAGGGCTGTTACAAAGACAAAACCACTTACACTCTATAAGACACCGAAATTAGGGAAGTGGCAGTATTTTATCACAGCTTGGTTTCTCTTCTGATGGTTTGGTATGAAGTGACGTACTCTCGTGAGGGCTTGGGCTTGTGTGTGATCGATGTTACGCTTTGCTCTTTGTTGTGGTTTATTTCACAACTTCTCCTGCCTGACAGATAAGTATCTAAAAGCTTGAAGACCATTACTCCTGCCCTGAAAAAAAAAACAAAACCAAAAAAACAGTCCATGGCAAAGAGAATGGCAGCGTTTCATTTATTGATCAATTGAAGCGGAGACCAATGCTCAACAGAAGAGCGTGTTTGATGGCAGGATTTGTAAGGGAAAAATCACTGCAAAGAGTACGGCTCCTGCACGCTACATTCACCACGATGTTTGAGGAACAGTGTTCCCTGGTTCCGCCTGAAGAGAGAGACAGATCAAAATTACAGACGTGGATCTCAGTTTTATAGTCTAACTTTAGCCAAATAAGCCAATGCTCTCATGCTCTCCAGGTTATAATGTACTTCACTTAATGTTCCACCTCTTTCCTGATTCTCCACGAAAGAGATTTGGGACAAACTCCATGGTTTTGGACACTTCCTACGGTCATAGTTTAACTCACTCTGGCAGGGAGGGAGTCAGCCTACAAGCCTACAAATGGGGATCTGGGTTTAATTGCAAGGGAAGGAGAAGACTCACTCAGGCTTAAGATCTGCAGTGCCTGGGGGTGACAGAGGAGCGAACGTCGGGAGAGGAATGCGGAGCAGGGCTAATGAGAGGGGCTAACGGGAGCTCCTCCCCCCCCGGCTGCCGCCGCTGCGTGTGCACTCCGGCTCCTCTGGTTTCATGGCTACGTGGCGAGCTCCATGCTTACCAAACCACACGGCAGAACTGGCACTTGTTTCCATAAGTTCTGCCATCGGAGCCACAAAGGGGGTTATAGTCATCAGTGCAGATGACATTGCTGCTCTTCTGTTCGCTGCAGTCAATCTGCTAATGACGGAGCAACAACAGGTTTTAAAGCTTTTGTTCCCCATATTTTCCTACGTGAGTGCTTTATGTTTATTTAGTGTTTATGATATGGCAAAGCATAAAAGCATTTTCAGGTGCAGGTCTCTCTTGTTCTAGTGGCTCTGCAGACTCGAAAGCAGAGAAAGTCCTTGCCTGGAGCAGCCTGGAGTGCAGCGAAGGCAGAGGGGAAAAAAATCTAATAAATACTGTTGTAAATAATGACACGACTGTGCTGATATTTCCAGGCTGGCCCTCCCACTGCCTGCTCTGCTCCGGCTTGGAGGCGAGCGTACAGAAAGCCAATGGTCACAAACCACACTGCAGAAAGTGCTCCCAGCTGAGGAACCAGCGCTACTGATAGTGCTGGTAGAGTTCGATTCTCCTGCTCTCCCGCAGAAGGGGTGAGGCAGCATCTCTTGCTCAGCCCCTTTCCTGGTAAATGAAGGTCTTGGCACCCGCTAACTGTTGTGTCTCCAGGTCAGAGGGGGGACTGTGTATCTGAGTCATGGATTTGGTTCCATACCCTTTGACTCTGGCATACCTTAACTATTTTCTTCAAATCCTATTTACAAGGCAAATGCACCAGGACAGTCAGGTGTTTCTATTATTTAGTTGAGACTCAGTGAATTTGCGTTGTAAAACATATTGCAACAGCAGTTAAGAGTGCAGATTTCTGCGCTTTACCTGGAAGCATTCTCCAACACTGCGCAGGTTTAAGTCCAGTCCATTCCTTTTGAAAGAAAGCGAGTTGAGAACAAGTAAGGACAACACAGCTGCTTCAGTTATGCTCTAAATACCAACACGAGCACCTACTGATCCAGAAACCCCCACCCTGTGACCACTTCACTCACGCCACGGCACTGCAGAATTCACACTTGTTTCTGTAGGTAACCCCGTTGGTGCCGCAGAAGGGCATGTACTCCAGGGTGCAGGGGATCACACGACCACCGCTTGATCTCAGGTAGCCGGTACAGTCGAGCTGAAACAGTCAGAGAACAACATTTCAGCATCTGCTCCTCTTTGCATCAGTCCTGTGTAACGGAGCACGGTGCAAGAGGCGTCTCCCTCCATCCTCAGAGCTGAAAGAGAAGCTTCCAGCCCCAGCATGGTGGAGTTGGAGCACGAACAGTTGAAGTCCTGCACATGGGCACAGCACGATCCTGGAGCATCTGGGTTTTTTTCCTGTCCTGAAATGGGCTTCATCAGTGTCATCTTGGGGATTTTCATCGTGAACATCACCGTGAAGGATCTTTGCCTGAAATGTCTTATGTGGCAGCAAATTTTGCTGCAAAATGTCAATGCCACTTGAAAATGGAGTTTACACTCACCTCGGTGTTTTTGCAATTACTCTGAGTGTACTGAAATGGAAGTAATTTTATTATGTTAAATTGCACAGCCAGAGTGTTTCTTTACTTTCTCTCTCTAAACCAAAAATAAAAATACTTCTGCACTTCACCGTAGCTCAATATATTGATAAACAAACTCTACGATAAATGTTCTGATAGAATTGTTTTTCCTGTTACAAAACTACAATTTAGTCAAAATCCAAACTTCCTCTGGGAATTTCTTGTCTTCAACAAGCCTCTATGTCTAAGTCTAAAGAGAAATGTTTTGCTGAAACATTCTTAAGTCTGGTCTTATACACAAGATAACGTTCCAAAACTCAATGATTTTAACGATTCAAATAAAATGTGAAATAAATTCTTGCAAATTTGAAATTCTTCATTTTCATTCCATTTCTGACAGTTTGAAATTCTGTGGTTTTTAATGCAGAATTAATCCTGGTGAGGTTTCTGCCTAGCTCTCTGCCACCATTTCACCCACTACTGCTCAGCGCAGCAGGAGAAGGAACCGATCTCAGACCTTACCCTAACACATCTTCCATCGTGCTTCTTGTCGATGGCTCGGTTACGGCTAGAGAGAGAGAGAGGAAAGCGAAGGAAGGATTAATATGTTGATACCATGTAGTCATCTCACTCATTAAGTCTCTCCACTCATAAAGCCTCAGTAATTAATCAGATTCAGGAGCTTTGACACAGAAGATCGCGGGCATTAGGGAAGACAGAAACTTATGAAAAGTCTAGTCCACCCCATGATTAGTCATAACCCCAAAGGCTTTTGTCTGCCACTTGAACTGGCACTGTAGGTAATTGGGAGACGTTATACTCACAAGAATTCGTTGCAGAGGAAGCACTCGTTGGGGTAGGTCACGTTGTCGGTCCCGCAGACAGGTTCGTAGTGGCGGGGACAGGCAAGGTGCATTTTCCCTAACTGGTACGTGTTGCAGGAGGCCTGTTAAAGAGGACTTGTAACGTCTCCAAGTGGAGAGAATGGTGTACTTGTGTTAATCATGTTTTTGCTGCTTTGGGAGACTAATGTTGGTCATTGTTTTTCTCTGTCGCTCTCCCATGGTGAAGAAGAGAGGGAACAAAATATATTGTGTCTCTTACAGCACGCAAAAGCATGGTTTTGCTATTAAAACTTTCAGTACTGTCGTAAAACATGGCAGGCAAAAATGATCATTCCTTGGGGAATCAAGGCAGGGAAGATATTTAGGCAGTTATTCAATAGTTGTACAGATCTTCTGCTGGCACTCTATGCTGTGCTGACTCTCACTCTATGTTATTAGTCACTGTCTTTTTTATCGTCATCAACATGGTAACTAATATTTCTCTGGCAGAGGTATTTTCTTATTTTGGGGAAAAAAGGTGATATAATACTTAGGGACACTTTTCCTTCTTTCTTTCTTGCTCAGTCTCCTTTTTGTTCTGCCTCAAGCCTTCCCTGGGATACAGTGTGAGTATGAATTATTCATCTAGACTTAGAAATCAAGACTAAACAACAAAGAAGACGTATTACTCACCCGTCGTTGAGCAATAGCAATACCTACAATTAAAAAAAAAAAGAGATTACAAAATATAAAACCTGAGTGTCCTTGACCAAAATTCCTCTGGAATCATTAATTTCCCAATAGAGTAGCCAAAAACACTTTCTTATTACTGAGAAGTGATTGTTTTCCCAAATGTTTTATCTCCTCCAAGTAAACAAGAAGTTATATGCTAAGATTAAAAAAATTAATTATTTGTGAAACCAGAAATTTTGACTCACTAAAGCAGAAATGGAACATAAACTTTTCTCCTTTTGCAGCACTATTATCCCCACTAAGTCTCATAAGTTTAAATCAGACAAATGCGTCCTACTCTTCTATAGTATTTATCTGCACAAGGATAAAGTTCATTAAAAGAGAGTTTACATATTACTAAATCATCACTTCTCCAAAAGGCTGAACTCTCCTTTAAGATGTGTGTATAAAGGCAAAGGTTCAGGAGAAGACACTAGCACAGACTGTAACAAAAACAACTTACCAGAAAGGCAGCTGAGAAGCACAAGCCCAAGAAGGGCAATGCTTCGTGTTGACTTCATAGCGGAGATGGTTATAGAGTCTCTTACTTGCAAATCTGTCGCTGTTGAATTCAGTAGACGGTTCTCAGCCTTCTCTCTCTCTGCTCTCTATATATACATGTCCCTGACCTTGTGAAGTCATCCCATAAAGTAATTATTTGCTCTGTAAACTAAGAAAATTGTATTGATTATTGAGTTGAGCTCTAAAGAATACTTTTTTGTTAGAGATGTCCAGAAGAATTAAACAAAAATGTGAGCTACACCCAGCTTGTTAACAAAGGCGCCCTGCTGTACAATGAGTGATTTGTACTTTCCAAACAAGAGCACTGTCTCAATAGTAGATGTTGTGAAATTACGTATGGAAGTTGGTAAAGCAAAAAAAGGCCATTTGTTGAAAGCGTTTAGCTTGTGCACACTGTATTACATCCTCTAGATGGTAATTGGGCTCCGGGAGAGTTGCACGGTACACCAGGGTGGGAGGACAGCAGCATGGGACACTAAGATTTTACAGATATAGAAGCTGGGGTTTGACAGGGATCCGTATACGTTAAATATGCTGAGGGCTCAGTGAATGTCTCCACACTCTCTCCTGTAGTTTCTTGGTATGCTGGATTTCTCATCAACAAGAAGGAAACAGTCACCACAACAGTAAAGCATTACCTAAAAGTTCAGAAGTTTATAAAAATATTTCTATGTAGGAGCAAGAGTTATTAATCCATTGGCAATGGGCATGAGTTTGATTAAGAAACGATGAGAATAAGTAGCCTTAAATCCAGACTAAGATAATGTTTCCTCACAATAGCAAGCAAGTGGTGTTATGTGCAGGTGATGTGGACTTCTTAATATGAAAGACACTCAAGAAAAATTTGCAGCAGCTGCAAACAGAAGGTACGCCCTTAGGCTCCCCCCCTTCCCCACTATTACATGGCATTACATTCAGAGTGTCAGCTGAAAGTTGTGTTTTAAAGAACATGAGTGAAGAATAATGTGCTAGGCTCTGTTAAGTGCAAGTGTATGGAAAAACAAAGAAGGAATATTGCATAAAATAATATATTCTCTATTTAAGGCAGTCACGGAAAGAAGTGAGGAACTGAATGTGTTTGTGCTTTAGAAGAAGCTTGATTCGTACATGTGGCTTAAAGGCAGCCTGAGTTTTAAATAGAAAATCAGAATTGTTGTTCTTATTATCCTGGGAGATGTTCAGGTCTTGGCATGGGCAGATAAATCATAAAAATGTAGCTGAAAGTGTAAGGGAACAGTAGTCACAAAATAGAGCTTGTGGGATTTGGCTGGTTCATATCAATGAAATAATTTTCCTGAAAAATAAATGAGTAATGCTATTTGGATTTCATTCACAAGTATCAGAAGTTGAAGGGTTCCCTTGAAAGCTGTTTCTGTTGTGCTCTTAGCACCCTGAGTGACTTGACTTTCAGATTCCTTGAACTGATTGTGAGCATGTTTGGAAGGGAAGCAGTAATCACAGAAGCATTAATATTGATTAGTCTCCAGGGGCAAGAATGCCAAAGCCTGAAAACAAGGCTTCCTCAGAACTTGCACTAGCCACCGGTGGAGATGGCACTTGCTGGCTCTGCAATGGTTAGTGAGGCTACAGGAATGCAGTCTGCCGCCTCTTCAGCCCTGCGGCCCAAGCTTCTCCATATCCACCTCCAGATCGGAGATCCCCAGTTACCAGAAACTGTGCTGCTTCTCCAGGCACCTCTCCTGCCAGGCTGAAATCACACTGGTCACTCAGGAGCTGTTGTGAACGGCAGGGTATCTGCTAGGGAGCGGCGGCGTTCTCATATTTGGCCAACACCTGCCCTTTGATCAATTAGATCCTCTGGGGAGATGTCCCTCTGATCCTCATGCTGCTTCTGAGGGTCTGGTTAGGCAACCTGGACTGGTCCAAAATCAGCTCTTCCCCTCCGGTGATCCCTGTGACTTCACAGGGCAGCAGGCAGAAAAAGAAAAGCAAGGAAAGAGTCTTGCCACAGGGTCTGCAAGAAAGGATGGGAGATAATCGGTAGCAGTCAAGGGCAGGGCAGCGAGAGCTGCTGGGTTAGGTGTGACATGGGGTTGCACAAGGAGCTCCACTAATAAGAAACAGAGAGAATGGGATAGAAGTAATTGCGGGGCAGCAGATGGGTTGAACGAGGCATTAGGAGCACTCAAAAACAACTGTGTCCATGTATTTGGAAGAGTGAGCTTTGGGAAATGTCATACACATGTAGCAAGTGGGAAGGGCAAAATAAACTCACCTGACAAAACCTGTCCATGATATCCAAGAGTGTCATGATGGTGGGCTCAGTAAAGTGATTTTGGGTACAGGATTATTTTAACCTTGTTTTTCTGCAGGTATGAGATCCATAGGAAAGTTTAAATAAAACCCTTCCTGCTATTTCAAGTTCTTGGAAGACGAATTTTCAAGAAGGTTGTGGCCACATGAGATAAACATTGGTAGCCATATGATGGATCCTCTTTTAATAAGGTAAATTTCCAATAACTCTGGAAATACTACCCAGTTTCTAACCCAGCATTATCTCTTCCCACAACAGTGGTATTTTCCTAGGGAATCTTTTCTCTGGTTTTGAGATTTTCTGTCTCAAGCAAGTCCATAATCCACCACAACCTAAAAAATTCTTCATTTATTTTCCCAGCTTTAGTTTAAAACATGTCACAGGCTTCATCTGGCTACAAAGAGAGAGGACACTTTTTAATATTTTGAAAAAAAAAAAAATCCAAATCAAACAAAGGTCGATGTGTGCATGCAAGACCACATGTTGTTATCCCAGCAGAGGAATCGTTGCCCTTGTTCCCGTATCCTGCTGTCACGCACCACACCGTAATCAAGAATAAAGTGGCACTGTGCTCCAGCCTGTGCTGCTGCAGAGCCAAACGCAAAATCCGTTTCTTCGCCATCGACCAGAGCTGTGGCACATTGCGAGGGCTCCCAGAGCAGGTTGCTGTTCCCAGACATCTGCACACGGGGGCAGAACTGGATCTTCTATGAGAACGGGAATTCAATTTACAGCAAGCAGAGCCTCTGCTCTAAGCCGCACTCATGTAATATTTCTCCTTGCAGTTCAGCTATCTGATTGCTGCCTGCAGATCTCCAATAGATGATATCACAGGCAAGGGTGTCTGGAATAATTTGACCGTCTGGGAGCCGCGTACTCACAGCAAAACGCTGAGGATCTGGCCCCGCACGGCCAAATCCCGCAGCCAGTCTCACCTCTGCCTGGCTGCAAGAGCCCTGACACTGCCAGCCCCCAAAAACGACATCTCCAAGTAATTTTCTTTTAAAATGTCATTTTATTTTTCTCTGCAGCAAGAAAGAATGTAGTAACAAACCGTTTATCCTGAATGAAGCCTCAGAGAGAAACTGCATGAACAGGAAGGTCTGGACTGGCGTGACGTATGTTTTGGCCAGCAACAAGTAGAACGATATGCGAAAACAGAAGCGCGGACGTAAAATAGAGCAGAACAAAATAACTATATTCAATGTGTTAATCAGGTTGTGGAGTAATTGGATGGCATTTTCTAAATTCACGAACATCAGATAATGACATAAAGTGCCGAGGTACCGCTTAAAGAATTGTGCCATAAAATACCTCGGCAGGCAGACAATGTTTCCTGCCTTGAATTTCCTGGAGGGAGAGTTAGATTAGTAATGGTGAGCAGATTTTGTGTTGTCGTGGCAGGATTTTACTGAGCAGCAACCAAACCAAAATGATTTCCAACGAGGTACCCAGAAAAGAGGGCTGCCTTCCTCTCCATCCCCAGGAGCTGCCCTCCTGGGGCACGGGGTCTGGGGTGCTGCCAGCGCCCTGCTCTGCCCTCGGTTACTCCTGAATAACAGCTGCCAAACTGAGTTCTACTTCAGAGGAGGATCGATCCCCATCTGTTTCTACTTCCAGTTTCCCCGCACTTGCCTGGTAGATTTTCCTGTTTAGCAGACGTGGCCCCTGGAAGATGCCTTCTGAGGATCACTGAGATCTTGAGCGCGATTGGGAGCTCCACTTGTCTCCAAGGCATCATGGCTTCTGGGGACCATCCTCATCCTCTCTGCTGCTCTCCAGGAAAGAAAATAAGTGCTGGAGCTGGTGTTCTCTTACCACTGACTCCGCCACACAGCTGAGGGGGACAAGAAGGAGCATGAAGCCTCTGAGCCACTTATCCCCAGTGCTACCTCCCAGAGCCTCAGTTTGTCTTGGTCCTAAGAAATTGCATGTGAGACTGAAATGCCTTCCTGCACACAGACCTCCCCCTCACAGGAGGGACATTCCAGCCCTGGGAAGGGACTTGGCACCAAATGGTTGCAAAGAGTCATGTCTTTTGGAAATAAATTGTCTCCTTTCTGAGAGCTGTTCTCCCCAGTCTCTGGCAAGTGACATATTGTCACTTAAGATCATTAACTATTTGACTGTGAGACTGCTGCCTGTACAGCACGCCACACTGCCAGTGTTTCACCGTTAATGAATAATAAATTAACGCTATGACTCGGAGCCCTTCCTTTCATCAGCAGAGATTTCCAGAGGCCGAAGAATCTCAAAGGATCCTCTACAAGCAACAGCCAACATAATTACCTACAAGCAGCAGCTAAGTGGTGGGTGAGGTGCAGAAACGGGCTGCAGTAGTGATTGCTAGCAGTCTTCTGAACATCACGTCTGTTAGGACCGACTGCCCACTGGTTCTCTGCAATACCCCACACCGATGAGCGCTGCAAACAGGAGCGTGGGCAGTCAGGTATCTGCCTGCCCGGAGAAAACATCCTGTCCCGTTGCTTTGGGAGGCACAGCAGATTGCAAAAGGGCTTCTCTCATCTGAAGGTGCGTTTCCAACCCTGCTGGCAAGGGGAGGAGATGCAGCTGGGAAACTGTCCTTCTCCATCGCTTCTCTTGTGGGTGTAAGAAATTGGAGCTAACCCTGGAAACCGAAACAGGGATGAGCAGCTCCCAGTTCCAGCAAGCCTCCACATGGCTTTTGCAGAGCAGCCACAAAACACCCTTCAACTGCAACAATCTTGGGACTGGGACTGTCTCTAATTATGTGTATGCTCAGGTTTGCTTGGGGCCTCTTCGTGCTGCCGAAGTCTCCCATACAGTGACGCAGGGCTGAGGCAGACGGTGTTTGACAGCAGTGGTTGGGGAGGAAGGCAGTTCCTCCCACCTGAGCAGAGGGTGTCTGTCCGGGATGCCCTTAGTGGAATCAATCGATTGGAGCATTGCATGAGGATGCATCTCCAGCCCTGGTTTTCTTTTGGAAAGCTGGACGAAGGCAGATGCCCTCAAGATCCACCCATTGCTTTGGCATTCGGATCTGATTTCTTTGTAGAGCAGAACAATGTATTCTCTCTCCCTGTAATTTGCCCGTTAATACCCACACCCCAGGATTGTGGCAGTGATGTAATCATGCAACATCTTAGGTAAAAACATAATGAGACATATTATTAAAGCAAGACATAAATGCTGATGGCTTTTATTAAACAGATGTTTCAAGATTCATCAGGGACTTTCAAAGTTCAGGACAAGGCTTTAGGGGAGCATCTGCCACAGGGAACATCGCCAGGGAGGATTCATCTTTCTGAGCTGAAGCCTGTCAAGAAGTTAACACTCTCGAAGATATTTCAAGCGAAGAGTCCGATGGCTTCTCCTGCGGAGAAAGAAATCAGTACCAAACAAATGGGCTTTTACTCTTTTTCTCTCCCTCTGGTGAAGAATATATCATAGAGGAACTTGACGAAAACAGAAAACTTCTGAACACTATTCCAGCTATATCCTTTTATTACTAACATTCGAAGACAAGATAACGACTTAATTTCAAGGAAAAACAAAGAGTCTGTAGGAAATAGACTTTGTTTGCTGGAAGAAAGCTCTTCAGCAAATTACTTAACAGGGAAATGAAGAACTCTACTAAATGTTACTTTTTTGTACCCGAAAGAAAAGGATTCCTGGCAAGTTCTCCCAATAAAAAACCTGACCCTTGCTAGTAAGAGAACAGGTAAACACAAAATAAAACAACTTTATTTCTCCAACTAGTCTCTAAGACTGATTAGTTTAAGCTAAGTTAGTTCACCATTTAGTCAGTGAAGAGATTTCTCTTATACATACAGGAATGCATTGCAGAATAAGCATTTGTTGCTATATGTTATTCCATCAGACCCGCAGTGTGGGACGTAGTCCATGGTACAGAAAGGTCTGGGCACCACGTACATACTGCAGTAGTCCTGTAGATAGATGCAATCTGTGTTCACAAAAACGTTCTGAACAACAGATATGTAAGAAAGGTGACATTAGGAGACCCCCACACACCCCCTGAGCTCTCCCCCAGTACGGGCCAGAAGCAGATGCTGAGAAAAAGCCCAGGGACAGGGCAGGTGTTACATTGCCTCTGACAATGTAGAGCCTGGGTAACCATCATAAATGCTGCTGCAGTAATTTTGGCACTAACTTGGACACGAACTGAATACTGCACTACTTGTTGAAACTACCATCAGATGAAAATGGAAATTTCATCCAATAATATCTGTGGCAAATATTGTTCAGATAGCTGGATGACTCAGAATTTTCAAATGCTCGATCACAATGTGATTAGTAAGGATTTATACAGAAACTGCTTTAAGGAAAGAAATGATGGAAAATAGAAAGATCTGTCCCTTACCTGCAATGCGTCAATATCTGGAAAAAAATAAAAAAAGAAGGGAAGATGATACAAATGCAATTCATGGGTTTTGTTAGAGTTAAAATCTGTGAATGCATGCCCTGAATACGCAACTTACAACTCACTGTTTGTTAGCAAATTACTTCTTAGACAAAAGGAATTTCGGGCAAAATTTTGTGCCATGTTGTATGTTTACAGCATTTATTATGTAGCATAATTTAATGATAGTTACAGCCAAGATGGAAAAGGGCGCACAAAATTAAAGAGGAAGTCATTTTCCATGGTTCAAAGGCTGGAGCAGGACATGTACTCAAAGCTAAGCAAGTTATTGAGGCAAACAGGGTCATAAAGCTGGCAAGTATATGGAAGCAACATCTTACATGCATTGCCCAAATACTTCTTAAATAAGAGTAGTATTTAGTGAGATGTAACTTTTATAAAGCTTCTACAACCTTCAGGCTCTCAAATTGCATCTCAGTTCAGGATGACTACAAGAAACGTTCGCTTTCATTCAGTAAAGTGATTTGTGTTTCTGTAACATTTCAGAGGTTAAATAGTGGATGTCTGAGTCTCTGGGTTGTACCACGTACATGTCACTTCTTTCATTATGCATAAACTAGTGCTGAGAGTAGAGCTGTTCCCACAGTTGTTCTTACCCACTCAGTTCTGTTGCTAAAATATTACCCCATAAGTGATAGTCTTTGATGTCAAGTCTTTTCAACACTATCTTCCTAGGAGTAAATAAGTCCTAGTAGAATGAAGCTCTCTCCAGTCTGAGGATGTTTTTGCGGTTTTAAAGACAGCCGGCGCTTACTCAAAGGCAGAGCAGGAGGGAGTAAAGCTACTCACCTGGGATGCAGCAAAGGGCGAGAGCAAAGAGCAGCAGCACGCCGGCCGTCTTCATGGTGGACCGGCCGCCGGGGGGGGGAGCCTGTGTTTTGCTCGGTAAACGGAGTCCTAATTCCGCCCTCAGGTGGTAGCCGTGCTTATATGTACATGTGCACGTGTGTGTGTGTGTGTGCGCGTGCACATTCATATTTGGCTCATCCACCCTTCTTCTGAAGTAACATTCCCGGTCTTTTGTCAGGGTGGCAATCTCGACAGAGCAAAGCTGTGCCGTAAGCCAGGAAGAACGCTTCTTCATCAACAGGAGTCATAAGAAGTTTAGATATGTTCAATACACCCTTTAAGTCATTGTTTCAAGTGAAATATGCGACAGGTTCCTTCTGAAGGACCATAGGAAATTCCTGCAGGCAAAAGAGCAACCGTAAAAACCTGAGCAGCGGCTGCTGCCAGATTTTCTCTGTGTGCATCTATCAGTGCCTATTTACACACAGTGCTTTTTCACAAGCAAAACGTGGAACGAAAGGCTTCCCGAGTGGAAAGTCTCTACTTTTATTTTCATGCTTCATCCAGATAAAGCATCATTAAGTTAAAGTGGGCAGGCAAGCAAGAGGGTGTCCCAGACACTGAAGGGAGTCTTTGAGCTGGACAAGAGATGGAGCAACTTTTATGGGCATTTGCAGAGAATTTACAAATTGTTTTCCCTAAAAATCTTTAGCATTGTGGGTTAGATTTGCAGTAATGGCCTGATAGTCTGATGATGACACAATGATGTGACCCCTAGCCCGGATCCCAGAAAAGTTGAACCCAGAAATCACTGCTTCATCCATCTCAGCATAAATCCTTTGTTTTACCGTCAAAGCATCGCTTTTTTGGACGACCTCATTCTATCAAGGAAAACAAGCACCCCCTCTCCCTTTGGCTCCCACAAGAAATGCCTATGGGAGACATTACTTTTTAGAAGGAATATGCCCAATTTATTTATGTTTCTCTTGTGTGGATCAAAAACCCACCAATTCAATACCCCAACAGAGGACAAAAGCAAAATAAATTTCATGGACAACACACCAATGACAGGACACACTCTCAGAAAACAGAAGGATATTTTGTCCTTGGATTGTGAAACACTGTTGAAACACTCCTTGGGCTGGCAAAGAGTATTATGTTATTAAAGACTAAGAGAGAAGACAAGTAGGCAGGAGTAGGAACCATCCCTAGGATGACATTTATCTTAAAACATTTGAAGACTGTTAAAGGATGACTTCGAGATGAGAATAATCTAGAAATATATCGTCTGGAGGATGCAGACAAATAGGCAGGGCCCTCTCACGTGTCTGAAAAATATGGGTTTGTGAACAGACTGCCCTCGCAGAGCACGAGGGTTGGGGTGAGGGTTGTGGCCAGGGATCAGCTCCTGGTGCGGACATCATCACCACCATCTGAATGGGGTTTGCTGATGGCACCC